ACTTTCTCTGATATCTTTGCTGCCAAGGATGAGGATTTTACACACACAAGCCTGCCTGACATAGACACTGGCGAGGCCGTCTTATCTGCCTTTTGCCACGTCGTCTGCCATGAGCAGTATGCAGTGGCAGAAGAAAAGATGAAGGAGATGGCAGCAGCAAGTGTCATCGAGTCCTCGAGTACCCCGTGGGTGGCCCAAACTGTCCTTGTGAGAAAGAAGGACAACTCCTTGCGGTTCTGTGTTGACTACCACCGCCTAAATGACCCATATTACCCATAAAGACTCTTACCCTCTGCCACAGGCATGTGATGCCCTGGACCACATCACTGGTTCCTGCTGGTTCAGCTCCCTCAACCTTCGGAGTGGCTACTGGCAGGTTGAGCTAACACCAGAAGCCTGTCCTAAGACTGCCTTTACCATTGGGCAAGGGCTGTGGCAGTTCAGAGTAATGCCTTTTTGCCTTTGTAAACCTCCGTGTTTGTCATCTCCATGCCAATGTGGATGCCCTGTCACAGTGGCTCTGTGAGGAGGCTGATTACCTCTACCACAAGTGTGTAGAGGAACGACATCCAGCAGCTCCAGTAGTTGCAGCACTGCAGACCATGGCAGGTGATCAGGATGCCACCCCTTCTACTGGCCACAAAAACACAATGGAACCATGCCCTGCAGAACAGCTACAATGTATGACATTCAGTCATATTCAAATAATATATTGCTGTTAAAGTACAATCTAGTAAATACCTATGCTGTTTTATGGTAACTGAACAACCATATTTACTTACTTATTTACTGTATGCAGTAATATTAAGAAAGAAATATAGAATCCAACATTTAAAAAAAAAAAAACAAGATGTAAACCATGGGATTTCTACACTTAGTGTGTAAACTCCAATGACATATTATGTTGAAAAAAGGTTTAGTATTAGATGCTAAAATAGTTTTATATTATAACACTATTGTATTTTAATGCGCAGCAGGAAAACCACCAGCCTGTATTTTCACACAACTGTTCTTTAAAATTGTCACTTTGTAAGAGGCTGAAAATTAACCAACATTACAGTATCAACAAATATAAAATATATCTAATGTTTTGAGCTAATGTTCAGAGTAAGGGGTTTGTGAATAAGTAACAATAAAATAGTTTACTTCATTCTGGACAGTAATGTTAAAGTATGGGATATATATAACTTGAATGCCAAATTATTATGTATTTTAAGTGTCATATGAAGTATGACGTTGTGAAATAAAGGGTTAGTAGTAGATCTACTGCAATACTGACATTTTATCACCTTGGGTTCAAACTAACTTAAACTATAGTAACGTTGAAAAATATATGTGAGGTATATTTGTTCCTCTAATGATCACAATGTGGATTCTGTGAAAAGACAAACTAAATAAAGGAACAAATAATTAATTACTATTAATTATTATAAGAATTACTTTAAATCTGTCTACCTTTTTTGTCAGTTACTGAAGCTAGGGTAAAAGTACACCCCTGTGAAACATTGTTCAACGTAAATGATCTGCTCTACAACTTCCAAATTTTTTTCTTTATCTTTCAGCACAAATAATGACAATATCTAAGAAGCATATCCAAATAAGGACGTCTCTACCCGTCTGGTGTTCTGAAGTTTTCTCCTACCTATAGTTTTTTCCCACCTGAGTTAACTGCGCATGCACACATCGGCCATTTTGTCGCTGCAGACAAGCCATAGTTTTCTGCTACCCCACCGTTAAACAAGGTTAGTTTCTTGTATTTTAATAATTTATATGACCAGTATGCAATGCATGGGTTTGACAGTCAACTTATTTCAACTTGCTACGTGCATTAGATTGTGTCTGAATTCAGTAGTCATGACTTTCCCACATAGCCTCTGATTTTTTCAGCTGTTTTAAAACAGTACCTTACTAAATTTGCATCATTTTCTTGCATCAAACTTCCTCATGTAGCCTTCGAACTTATGTGTATGCAATACGAATGTCTAATAGCGCTGTGATTTTCCAGGTATTTTAAAACAGTACCTTACTAAATTAGCGCAGGGTTTACAGTATTTCATAAGGTTGTTTACAATTCTTTGATAGTGGCCTACAGACTTTGATGGAAGTGTATGGACCCCTGACATTTGTCCATGAAATTAAGTATATCTTCCGCTGAGTTATTGATTGCTATGTTTTCTTAGGTATATAATCGGTTTATTTCCTTTGTGTGCATTGGAACTACACAAAATGGAGAAAAAGGCAAATTTCAAATAATTTCTACCCATTTTATGAATCAAGGCTTGTGTTACTTTTGAATGGAAGTTACTTGACACGGTCTATGGATGCACTTTTGCACTAACAAATATATTTATCAATAATATTTTATCTCAGTGCTGTTGTGGCAAGCTCCCTGTTCTTTAATGTGAAGTCTCCATAAGGTGATGTACCTATTAAGAAAGTAAGTCATTTCTTTTGATGTAGGGTCCTAACTCATCTTTATTAACGTACATATTTCTATATTATCTGTTACAGATGAAGTTCCCAGCAGAGAATGTTTGGCTGTGTCCTGTGAATATTACTCCACATTGGATTATTGTGATCTGTTTCCAAAATATTTGATTTCTGATGACTCAGTACAGTACAAATCTTCTCTTTTATGTGGATATATTTAAAAATGAAGTCTCTGCTTCAAAAAATTAAGCTGGCTGTGCAAGACTCTGTAAAGTAACCATTAAGCAGAGTAAAGGAAGTCCTTATACAGCCTGTTTATTGATATGAAATATTAAATTACTTTACTTAAGGTTGTGAACATGGCAGAGAAGTTCCTCACTGTAAGGGACCCAATGGGAAATGAGGTTGCCTACAACAGGAAGATTCTGAGGAACTGGCAGTCATATATAGAATAATTTGAACAGATATATTTTTTAAAGAGAGGGGAAAAAAAGTTTAGAAAAAATATTTTTTATGCTATTATAGAAACTTCCTGAGGAACAGGTCAAGGGAGGAATCCAAATATGTGTGGACAGTGCACACCATGGACCACAACACACGGATTTCAGCAGTTGTGTGGGGGTCCAGTGTTAAAGGTACTATTTCGCTACAAGTTTATGTTTATATACTTTGAAGATTAAGCTAATAGTATTTAATTGTAGATAATGTACCATATCAAGCACATAATTACATTCATATTTTATTTACAGTATGCCAAAGAATTCCTTCTGAGTGGAAACATATCTGATGTGCAGACTGTCAGTAAACAAAGGATGGACAAAGAATGGACATAGCCTGTATATTATTGGAAAATAGATAAAACATGTACAAATGTAAAATAAACCCAAATGTTCTGTATTATATATTATGATCATTTATGTTACTATTTGTAAAAATAAAAATAATTTAAAAAAACACTTGAAAAATCCTAGATGTGATTATTTTCTGTTTTACAGTATGTGCTGCATTGGGTAACATTTTACATTCCCTCTGGTTTACGATGTACATGTAATATAAATGTAAATGTAAAGAACATAAATAAAGTCCTACCCTAAACCCTGAGAGAACAGATATATTAACAGGGATTTTCTCTTTAGCCTCAAATAATGTGCTACCACTCTAAATACAGCGCATTTCATGCCTATAGTAATATGTACTACCACTCTAAACAAGTCAAAAGCACAGATTTATCAAGATTTGATGTGTATAATAATGTTGTACCACCCTGAACACAAATGTCAGTATCAATGAACTACAGCTACAGCCGCAACACTGGGTGGAAAGAACAGCTGCTGCTTGCACAAATCAAAGGTTTACATTTCCTCCACGATGGTGAACAAGTGCAGGTATCAGCACAACACAGTGCTCTTAATTATGAAGAATGAACTTAATTAAAATTTCGAAGAATTCAACAGGGAAATATACATACTTGTATTTTTATTTGTCCCATTAGTTCTGTCCAATTCAATTAAAAAATAAAAATAAATAAAAAGACCAATCCTCAAAAATGTTTGTTGGGTTACAAAGGAACACAGGCATTAAAAAAATGATGCGGTTCTATCATTTATTTATTATAAATTATTATTTCAAAGGGCATATTTCAAAGGACTGTGTGATTTTTCACAAAGAGGATTTTAGAACGAATGTGTTGATTTTAAGTTATTGTACAGAGCATGTACCCCCTGCCTCACCCCTGCAGGAGGAGCTATAAACACAATTTGACTGCAGCTTTACTTATGATTTTATTACATTGAAAGCTGCTTGTACTCCATTGACGTCATGGCAGACATGTCTCACAGTAGGAAAGGTCCCGGCCAGCTATCACTTTACTGAGAAATGGAACTGTACACTTCCAACAATATCATGACAAAGGTTCATATATATCCTGCTTTAGTACATTTTTGCTTCGGATACTTGCATTTTGTTGTATAAAAAAATGATCCTTTACCTCCCCCCAACACTACTTTTAATGCCTTTTGTGTTTTAGCATTAGCTCGTATTTTTTGGTTCCACAGTGTAGCGATTAGCAGCCTGCCTTGGAATGAAAATTCCCCAAATATGGGATAAATAAATAATAAATTATTATGGTTGTAATTGTTATTATTTGGCATTGCATTTGAGTCACTTGTGTCTCAAGTTCAAATCCTGCCAAGGGCTGTGGTATGTTGGGCAAACACCTGATCACCTTGTTTCATAGCGCTTATATGGATATATATATGTACAATGACAATACATTAGCTTACTTATTGACTTCTTACTGACTTCTTACTGACTTCCTGAACTTAAGAAGAAAAGAGAAAATACAAGTAGAGGGCAGAATCAATGCAGATATAAATGCCACAATTCTATTCTATTACCCCAATTGACCCACATAACTTTTGATTAACTTAATTGTTTATTTACTGGATACTTCAAGTATCAAGTATCAAGTATCAAGTTCAAGTAAGTCTTTGAACAAGAAACATGAAGATAATGTTCAGAAACATATAAATTTTACTTTTTAACAAAGAAACATAACTTTCTTCAACATGTTTTCTGTGGTGTGATCATTTTATTTTGAGCATTGAGAAAATAACAAAAAAAACTGTGGCATGCCGTGTATGGGACATCAGATACAAGCAGTATGGAATATGAACTGCCACATTATAAAAAATCATCATGAATTAAAACATGAACATTTCACTTCTTGACGTGCTCAGACGTAGGCCAGATACAAACACACAACGTCAGTCTGCTAATTGATAAGTTGTTTGTTACATGGTTTTTGTCATAAAGGTACTGAACTAGGCTTATTTTCCATCAGCTGACAGAAGATAACCGTCGACAGACTGTTAAGATAACACTGGACAACCTTCATTTTCTGTTTCAAAGATGAACCCAGGCAATAAACCGGCTGTGTTTAGTCAATGGTTAAAAACAAACAAAACTGAAGCTGAAGAGAAAATACAGTTGGAGTGAGCTGGTGGGTGACTACATGTATGTGTGTGTGTGTGTGTGTGTGTGTGTGTGTGTTTGCTACTGCGTGTTATTTTCCTTCTAGGTTCATGTGATGACATTAGGGCCCCGACGTCCTGTCCTCTCGTGGATGCCAGAGATCTTCAGAGCGATGGCAATGAGCGGCCCCAGCACCACCTGCAAAGACGACAACAACAACAAGGGTGTGTGTTCAGAGGAGAGGAGAATCTAATATGTCCCAGGTCACAGTTCTTTCAGTGAATTTTGCTGAAGATGTTTATTCCTCATGGCAATGCAAAAACAACCTGCACTAAACTGAAAGTCCAGCAGCAAATGACTCAACAGCATTAAAGGACTTTCTCACTGGACTTCTGGTGTTCTGTCTCAAGCAAGGGACCGACGTTTGGACTAATGACTGTAATCCTTTATTGTTCTGAATGACTCCGATCCTTTGTGTTTACAGTAAATTTTCTTTGTTTTGTTTTTTCAGGATTAAAAACCATCACTTCAACCCTAATCCTAACTCTAATTCATTCATTCAAAATGCACCACACATATCTACTTGGTGTGTTGTTCTGTATATGTAGCCTTGTTGTAGACCGCTGAAAAAGACATGAGGAATGTAGGCCACTTCTGACTGCTATATGGTAAAAAAAAAAAAAAAAAAAAACAAGAATAAAAAATATATATACATATTTTCATGTGATGCTTTGGCCCAGAGGCAATGTCTCACAGAGAACAGCCAGAAAGGTTTTGGAACAAAGTTTTATGAACTGATGAGACCAAGATTAACCTCTACCAAAGTGATGGAAAGGCCAAAGTATGGAGAAAGAAAGGTTCTGCTTATGATCCAAAACATACAAGCTCATCTGTGAAGCATGGTGGAGGTAATGTCATGGCCTGGGCTTGCATGGCTGCTTCTAGAACGGGCTCACTCATCTTTATTGATGATGTAACTCATGATGGCAGCAGCAGAATGAATTCTGAAGTCTACAAAACAATTTTGTCTGGAAATTTACAGAAAAATGCATCCAAACTAATCGGGACAAGCTTGATCATGTAACAAGACAATGACCCAAAAAAACACTGTCTACACAACAAAGGACTTCATCGGGGGGAAGTGGACCGAGTGGAAGGTCTTGGACTGACTAAGTCAATCACCGGACCTTAACTCAATAGAGCATGCATTTTCCCTCCTGAAGAGGAGACTGAAGGGAGAAACCCCCTAAAACAAACAAGAACTAAAAGAGGCTGCAGTGAAGGCCTGAAACAGCATTTCAAATAAAGAATGCAACAGCCTGGAGAAGTCAATGGGTCACAGGCTCGATGCAGTTATTGCAAGTAAGGGTTGTGCCACCAAATATTACATGTTATTCACTTTAAGTTAAGTTAATTTAATAATGTCTCGTCCAATGCTTTTGCTCACTTGAAAGGTGGGTGGAGTCAAAAAAAAAAGATGCTCTGTCCTTAGTTGTTTAACACATCTAAGATGTCAATACCATGAAATAAAAGCTAGAATTCTGAACTTTTGTCTCATATTCATTTTTTGATCTGAATCCCAAATGTCTTCAGTATACAACAAAAACAAAGGAATTGACCTTACCGTTTCAATCCTTTTGGAGTGGACCGTATATTTACCCTTTATGAACCTCCCCCACACTGTTATCAATCCTCCCTAGACTGTATTATCCTTTCCCACACACTTATATACACAGTAGAGTGGTACAATGGCGATGCATACTGAAGTGAACCAATAATGGATTTAAAACATTTTAAAACAACTATAAAATTATGTATTTTTTTGCCTGTAAGAGTACTTCTTATATTGTGTTAATGCTTGACTTAATACAAGATGTACAAACGCTGCTGAGTACTTCTTCCTGTAAACTTCTACCAAATTTTACTGAGCTGTAAATATGACTCGTAAGATGTTTACTGAAATGGGCCTAAATCCCTGAAACAGATAAACTGATCATAGAAGGTTCCATAATCAGTACTTCTGATCAACAGGTGTCCAATAAAAACCGTAGTATAATAAAGAAATCAAAGATGAGGTAATAATGAGTTGCACAACGGTTGACGTGTTCAGGTTTGAAGTGGATGTCCGTTTCTATTGCACTTAAGCATAGCAGTACATAGCATGACTAGCGAGTTTTGTCATGTGTTGTACAATATGCATTTCATCCCAGTTTATTGAGTTGAATCATCACAGCTGTGTAAGGTTGTTCTTCATGTTGTTAAAGCAAACATACTGTGACTGTGCTGCTTACTTCATTCTACTATATTTAGCATGTTGCGGGCTAATAAGCATGTGAGCTAATCACATATGTCTAACTGGTGATTTATGTATATCGGGCTAAGGTTTCAAAAAGATTAGAATTTTATAATGACATTATTATTAAGACAGCTTGTGAGTCACATGTGTGTCACGCATTAGGACAAGGACAATAAAATGGCAGAGCTGTTTTCCTGGAAATAAATGGGTTAAATTATTTATTTATTCTGTAAAAAAACATTATTAACATCAGTAAGTTTAATGAAGGTGTCCACTTTGGCTTCTGTAGCTCAACATATTTTTTGTGTGTTGAGCTGGGGTTTTCAACATGGGTTGGGCAACCCCTAAAAGGTCCGTGCAAGTACTGCAGTCAATTTGCAGTGAATCCATTTATTGCAGTGTATTTTTATGATTACTAAGATTATAATACATTCTTTTAAATTTAAAATATTAATAAGTAATAATAAGTAAACTATTATTTCTCTGATTTTTTTGCAAAGCTGTTCTTGTGCTGCATGTTTTGACCAGGATGCTCTTGAAAAGAAATTGTTTTTACTTCAAAATATGGGTTTGAATATCACACAGAACAAAGACCTTAGTGACATCACACAGATAATACACAGTCAGACAGAACATGATTCATCTCTGTACCTGTGTCTCTCTGCTTTGTCTCTCAGGGTCTTTCTCAAAACACTCCCCATAAATGCGGACGGTGGCGCCCAGCCCTCCTCCACTCCCACTCATCCGAAACACCAGACGTGACGCATCAGTGAAGATGATCCTCAAACCCTGGTAACACAAAAACAAGGAGTTCAAAAATCTAAAATATAATATAAAAACTGTAAACTATAAAGCTGGGAGCCTTGTTCAAAATATGAACTTAAGCTTTGAGGAATAGCTCTAAAATCTTCATCTCTGGCATTTCAATGTTTCAATTTTACACTGTATTTACTATGTACATACATGAATTTGTTAGTTCTGCTGTTCTTTGAGGTGGGGTTTAGATTATAACAAACGTCTATATTCAGCAAATAAGCGAATAAATTATTAAAGCACGTCTGAATGTGTTATATAATATGCATTACAAGGTTAAGTCCACTAGATGTCAGTAATAGTACGTGCAACTCTGGGACTGGAATCATCTCCGATTTATCTCTAGTTGTTAGCTAAAATACAAAGTTATCTTATCTTTTAGGTTAATTTAGCCCTAATTATAGCTTTATATTGCTAATGTACAGTTTAAGCCATTTTCTGGAAATTTATTCACAATATATCAGATTAATAATTAAATTGTGCTGCCAAATTGATTTTATTACATCGATTTACAACATTGAACTTTTAACATTAGACTGAATAGTCGGTTGCCGCTACATCACTTCTGGTTATGTTATAGAATTTGACTAATAAACGTGTAATGAGGAAATGGGAGATCTAGCATTATTTTTTTTATTTTTGGTGTAACCAGCAAAACAAAATATATTAGAAGTAACCCTAAAAGATTTGTTATTGGGTTAATGCCTATTTAAATCTAACTATAAACTTAATCAATTGTTTAAGTTTTTTACAATTAGAAATATAAGTGTTTTATTTATTATGACTCAGTTACAGTGAAAGGAAAGTGACAGTGCAAAACTCGTCTCCCTCCCTAATCTGGCTTTGGCACTAATGGAAAACATATCAAGCCCTGGTGAGTAGAAACGGTGATAATGTGAGGTGTCGGTCCGCCTGGCTGTCTGTTTTTCTATCCATCTGTGTGTCCATCTGTGTGTGTGTGTCAGCTCATCTTTAACAATAGTTATCAGCTCAGAACAATGTCCATTGCTAAATCTCAAGAGGTTCTGAGTGGATCCATACCAGTCCCTGTGTCTGTGTCCGTGTTTGTACCTAAAACCACAGTTGTCCTTTTTATGAACAGCGCTGTCTTTCACACAAAAGCTGCGGAAGTCTGATGTAACGATCCCACCAGGTTAGATTTTCAGGACATAGTTGAGAAAATATTTTTTCACCTGTCTAACTGCTGCATATTGTTGTTATCTTATAAATTCCATCCCTTATTGTTCAAGTAGCACTTTAACTTTGTTGCTTAGTTTGACCGTAAGTCAAGGAAAAATAAACAAACTGTTTCCACTGTAAGACTGTCGATGTTGTTTTTGACTTGTTAAAAAACACGTTTATTGTGTTATTGTTGCTCTCTAGTATAGAATTCATCTTAGGTGTTTAGAGCCAAATCCTGCTGGCCAGTAGTGGTAACACAACAGTAAAACTACTATGTACTGTACACTCCATCAAAAACCACTGCTTATTTTCAGTGTCTTCTGCCATTTGGCCTCGCCCAGCTCAGTGTGATCAGAGCCCCGGACTAGGCGAAAGGTTTTGACGTACCAACGGTCCTCGTATTAAGACATTACAATTGCGCATCGAAAGAACTTTGAGAAGGTCAACTCTAAGCTGTGACCTTAACCGATTCCAACTTATGAAAAGACATTAGAGTTTTGGCATGAAGCCCAGTTGGTCTGTAAATAATCTGTGGAGAATAATGGAGTCTCAACTAGTGCAGCAGTTTAGTCAAATGATAGATAGCTAGATAGATAGATAGATAGATAGATAGATAGATAGATAGATAGATAATCTATCTATCCATCTATCTATCTATCTATCTATCTATCTATCTATCTATCTATCTATGAATGACCTGGTTACTGAAAATGCAATGTTACTCTTTTGAATATTATATATATCTATATATATATGTAAGATTGTTATTCATTGATCTATCTGTTTGTCTATCCGTGCATGCTAAAGACATGTAGACAATGCAGAATTTTTTTCAGTAGCCACACACAAAACCCGGTTTTGTTTTATGTGTGTGTGCATTTGACTCTGGGTGCCAACTTTCCCGCCTTCAAATACACGTGCAGCTGAGAGGCTGCAAGTGAGACGACAGCTGATATAATTCTGTCCTAAGAGGAATGTGTGCTGTAATAACACACACACACTGGGCCAAAGATTTACCAGTGAGGCACAGTCACATTTTAGGAAGACTAACTAGTAACCTGCTTATCTTTTCATATGGCCAGAAATATTCCCACTGTTTCACTGCCTTTGTTTGTCAACAGTGGACCCTTCTTGTTAGACATCC